GTGGGTTTACAAGACACCATTACAATGACGTTGCAGTAACAATCAAAAAGTCAAGTTAATTAACTAAACCGTCCAGAAACAGAATACTCTGCCCTCTGTCCCAGGCCTGGCAAAGAGATTCAGCCACAAAAAGATAACCTTCCTGAAACAAAGCTCAAATTTTTTCATCCAGTCAAAAAAAAGCAACATAGATAGAGGTCATTTTACTGTAAAGTACATTCCTTATGTCTTCATGTCCTCCTGAGACCTGGACTTTTGTTTGATATGCATTTTTAATTTCTCCTAGCTATTTGGGATTAGTAGGACCTGATAAGTATTAAAACCTAAATAAGCCCAGATGTCCTCAAACGAGACAATAATAAAGTCCCAACGTCCTTAAACGAGATGATAAAAACGTCCCAATGTCCTCAAAGGATTACTTTCTAATTAGCAATGTCTTGGTACTGTTGCTAAAATTGGTCAAATTTCTTGTCATATCAAACTACAAACATTATTTATCATAAATAGACAAGTTTCAATCATTAAATATGATCAGGTTTTGTACCTTGACTGACTTGGCAGAGATGGCTACCATCTTGTTTTTGCATGGATTAGTGTATTGTGTTCTTACTACCACTAGATAGCACAAAATGTGTCCACGGACGAGGACGACAGGCTTAAGTTAAGCTGAATTAATGTATAAGGTCCAGTAAACCCAAAATGTGATGTCCTCATATGAGGACAACGGGTCTCAGGAGGATATACAGGGTAGTAAAACAAGAAGTGAACCTCATTCTCAGCTTCACTTAAATTACACAACAAACAAATTCTGTCCTCCTCTGGGGTGGTGTTACATCTTTCAGTCTCTTCCAATCTGTAATGTTCCTTAGCACAAATATGCACATAATGTGGTTCAAATAATGAGGCAAACACATGAAAAAGTAAAACTCTTTGGGCAGAATCCTCAAGCCTCAGACGGCTCTGAATACTGTTTTTTTGATGTTTTTTTTCTAATTTTGAGATGCACTGACATCAGCGGGTGAATTCAGGCGTTCCAGCACAGACAGAATGAGAAAAATAAAATGTTTTTTGGCCATTGAAGCATGTAAACATGATCTAGTAGAAATCCAAAACAGAAACATGACCCTGATGATGACCACTATAGGTCCTCTTTAAAAGGATGTTTGTGTTTGTCTCTCTTGTTATCTTCTTGGAGAAGAAGACTGAACGGAAGGTTCAAGCTCTGTAATACACTGAAGACATGCAGTTAATATTTTCTCTTCTGAAGACCTGTTATCTCCAGTATGTCAAATCTTGAGTACATTTTTTCCTCTTGATGCACCACTTACCAGTGTCTGTCTTATGATGGTATAGTTAAGGGTCTTGGGAGGTTAATTTGATAATTGTAGTCTTATTTTTAGACCGGCCATCTTGAGAATCAGAGCTTCCTGGCCTGTCATAACAACAAGTCTTCCCCCTCCTACTCCTTCTCTCATTATCAGCCCTGTTGACCTTTCCTCTTGAGCTTGTTTTCCAGCCGTACTGTGGAGCTATCGATTGGTTTAATTCATTTTACAGGGATTAGGGGTTCGCCATGCTTTTCTCCCCAGGTTGCCCAGTGATGGTCTTAATAGGCATAAGACCGTGTAGACTGGAGCTAATGGCATGGAGAGTAGATGTCAGCGTTTCAGTGCACATGTACATGTGGATCATTTGACATTATGGTTCACATGAAGCAACTCATTCTCTGACTATTACCATTTTAGAGGATGTTATTGAGGATGGCAGTAATACTCAAAAAGAAGCAGAAAGTTTGGGAGTGAAACCCTTCACAATCAAGAACTACTTAAAACACTTTTCAAGATGCAGCTGTGTTCGACAACCGTATGTCACTTCATTTCTGACAGGTTAGACTGTACAGTTCCATGATTCATCAAGCATGTGACAGAGAGGAAGAGAAGCCTGAGGTTGGCATGACTTTAAAAAAAAAATCTGATGCTTTTAGCAGGCTTAGCCAGTTTTTTTAGGCATTTAAAGTCTATTTCAAAAGCAGTCGAAGGGCGAGAGGCGAGGTGATGAATCAGAATAGAGTCAGAGCCATTGCTAAATATGTCAACACTTTAAGATGAACAGTGGTGAGGTAATCGAGATAATGACCCCATCAAGGCAAAAATGACACATTTGCGCACACACACAACAGAGAACTGGTAATGTGTTTTAAATGACACAGCAGGCTGGAGACAGAGGTGCATGCCACATGCAGTGGGTGGTAAATGAGCTGCTCTACATTTTTATGAATTTTCAGCCTCTGAACACTACATCCAGAGACACTTTGTCGAGGTCACCTCATGAACCCTCGCAGAGCCAATCTTTTCCCCACTTTGTAAGATTGCCCGTTGACTCCGCTGCCATCGTATGGCTTTTTGAAATACAAATGATCTGTGATTTTCCACATTACTGGTGAAGAATCGAGCTGATTTGTATTGGTCTGTTTCCTGGGGCTGATTGTAGAGGTTTTGTGTGCATCAGGGTCACTGCGGTTAACCTTGGATGGCAGCAGTTCACCTCAGGTCATTCTCATCATGGAATCTTAAATAACCAGAGTAATCCAAGGCCAGTCCCCTTTCTCATTTTTACCCGGACCCCTCATTTTCAACTGCCGCCTTGCCCCTCGGAACAGAGATACAAATGGCAGTGGTTTAAATCTTCCCTATGAAATGGGACAACCCTTGGAGACCCTGATACGTAGGTATCAATGCTGCCGTTTATGCAAACAAATGATGAGTGTTATTGCGAATAGTTGTCTTCTGTTTCTGTGATTTGTCCTGCTTCATTACCGCACTGCATGCAGGACTGTCATACAAACCAGCCCAAACAATGTAATTTTAGCTAGCGAGCTAGTTAGCTACCGACACATCAGCATACTAGTGTTTCATTCTTTTTACAAAGGAAAGGGTAATGTATTGGAATAACATGAAATTTAGATAATGCAATAGTTATTGTAATTTTAAAATCTTTGTTAACAAAAGAAACTAAATTTGTGGGTTTCTTTTGTTGCCTGTGCAGCCCTCTTGCCAATGATTTCTCATTACACTTGGTTTGAAGTGTGCCGCTGAAAAACCTCCATTTGGAGGGCCATGTAGCCCCAACAGTTCTCCCTACCCCTCTATCCCAACAAGCATTGGGACACCCTACGCCTAGTCTCTATATACAGACTCTACATTCAGTGAATGTAGAGTCTGTAGGCAAACCCCGGAGATCTTGCCTCCGGAAGAAGAGCGGAAGAGCCCTGGTTTCCTGTTGTAGGCTGTTTGTAGTCCGCATGATATTGACCAATCATGTTTGAGCTGGCTGCAGTTATTGCCAGGTTAAACAGTCCGTGCGGTGAAGTAAAAAATGGCTGAACACAATTGGCGTCACTGCAAACTCTGAAACCATCGCAGTGGTTCAGCATATTTACTTATACATAAATGGAAGTCGGAAAGGGAAATTTGCCTCCTCCGTCCAAATCAAACCGGAATGCCAAAAAATCGGGGGTCTGCCCCCAGAGGCTGTATCGCCGCCTGCCGGAAGTCAGACGCCGAATACAGCCGATGGGTTCCGAGAATGCCCTACGCCTAGATGTGAATGTTCAAAAGTGAGGGCTTAGGGCTAAGTGGTAGGGGCACGGAGTGATCGGGTTTGGGCCCAAACCTATGTGTAAAGCAGTGCCGGCCCACAGCATAGTGATTATAGGCGAAAGCTAACAGCATTGTCATCCATTATTTTGAAATAGTACGTTAGGCCACAACAACATACCTACATAGCAAAGCCTACTGAATAACAGAAAGGCCTTTTTTCCCAACCCCCCTCCCCAGCTCATACACTTTACCTGCTCTCTGGGGGAGATGGGCGGATTATCCAAAGTCACTGCAAGGAGGGGATATAGAGAGAAGGAAAATGAAAAACCAACAAATCTGTGTTGAAAGCAACAGGAGCAGAGCTAGTTATCATTGCCTCTGAGCAACTGGTGGCTGCAACCAACAGCTGCTCAGAGGTTACATTGATTTACATTGTGAAGCATTTAAGCTCTATTCAGTAAATATTAGTACTTGGCGAAGGTAAATTATAACGTACTCATGATGTGTTCAATGTAATCTTGTAATATGTAGCTTTTGGCAAAAAACTTAAATAAATACTAAAATAAATACGGGAAGAAACAGTTGAAATTTTCATGGCAGTAAATTGTTATTTTAAATATTGGTATTAGCATCGAACCAGAATTTCAAAATCGATGCATCTTTAGTTCAATTGAAAGTTAATTTGTACATTTTATAATTTTACAATGTCATATATTATTGTTTATTCTTCTGTGCTAGTTAAGTTGTAATTTTTTTTAATGATTATTGATTTATATGATTATTATAAGACTGCAGAATGTTACCTGAAGCAAATTAGCTAGCAAATTTATTTTTATCTTATTTTTTATTGTTAGTTAGGACACCAGATGTGCTAGGGCCACCGCTAGTGCAAAGCCTCACTGAAATAAATAAAGAAACTCTAATTTCATGATCAGTTATTTTGCAGTGCTTTCTCAAGTAATTAATAATTAATAAAAAGTGGGCATAATGCATCACACATCACATCACAATTTCCTAAAATCCAAGGTGACATTTTAGTTGCTTTTCCTGTCAAACTAACAGTCCAAACCCCAAAGATATTCAGTTTACTCTCATACAAGGTAAAAAAACAAAAGGAGCAAATCCACTCCAGTACTTGTTTAGTTTAATTGCTTGAAAAGTGACTCATTGACTGAAGTCAGTTGTCTAATTGTTGCAGAGTTATATTGGTTTTATTCTGTTCTTTTATGGATAATTTGATGATCTATGCAGCAGTCCAGAACTGCGTTTGACTGTTGTTCTCCTGGTTGTGTATACATGTTCAGCACAGTGTGTTTTGCCAAAGTGTCAACAGGACATAAGCATGTGACCACACAGTGTCCATCTGTAAGCCAACATGCCCTTCTGTCCTCCCTGCACCAGGCTGTCCCTGCTAGAAGAGTGGCGCGGCGTTCGAGATGCAGCACTGTCAGAGCTCAGTGGGATCGAGGGCTGCATCTTTGTCCACGCTGGAGGCTTTATTGGCGGGAACAAGAACCAGGAAGGAGCCCTGGAGATGGCTCGGAGGACCCTGCAGGCTGCCGCTCAGGCCACAAACGGAAGCAGCTAAAGGGTCAGAGAGGAAAGCCAACAGCACATTTTGTTCTCGGGGCGGGGGGGGGGGGCAGTCTTTAGAAAGGATAGCAAGGATTTAAATCTTAGTTTTCTGTCTTGCAGCTTGTCCTTCCCAGTCAGGGCTAATGTTGTTCTGTTCTACCTCGCCATGATGGTGACGGTATGGAAATGGCAGCCAGGTAACCTTGGACCACTTCCCCTAATATGTATATTCCAACACAGGCTCGTTATTCTTCTTCTCTGTTTTCTCATAAATGTGGGTCTGTTTGTTGTTCATTTGCAATAAAATACTATTTGGATTAAATTTTGTAAACATTTCATGAGGATAAATCCATTATTAAAGTGACTGATTTTCCAATTCTGCTCGCACCTCTCTTCTTTCACCGTGCAGGAAATACAACGCACAGTCTGGCTGATCCAACTCCGGCGTCTTCAAAGCCTGTGAATACCATGGCCTTACCTTTCAAGGGTCGATTTTATATAGACATCTGGCCAGTGGTTCACCCTTTCATTTCCAGCATGCTGACATTAACTGTAGCACTACAAAGAGATACAGAGGCTACTTCCGCTGGCTGCCAGATCAAAGCGCCAATAATGAGGCCTGATTAATTCTGAGAAATTAAATTTCCAAACGCCACAAAGAGGCGCTTGGTATGGCAGCCAGTGTCGTGACAAGGTTACTGGCAGTGGGACGAGCTGTACAGTCAATTTCCCTGTAATAAAGTCGCGGGGATGTGCCTTGAATTTTCTCATGAATACTCCAGATTTTCTTCCCCCCTTATCTCTACCTGTTACTCTTCCCTTATTGCATTCTCCACGAGGCTGCCCTTCCGCCGCTCTTGCCCTGTGCAACATATTGCTCTATAATTTCATTGCCGTGCATTTTATTTCCATCAGTGCCGGCATCGCCATGCAAATGTCACAGGAGTGAAAAAAATAATTCATGAGTTGTTACTTAGAGCTTTTAATGTTGTTTCCTCTTTTCCTCGTCGTGTTCAGTGGTGCGGACCCTTTTACAGCCTTTCTTCGCCACTCTTAATTGAAACAGAGAAGCTTGTTACGCTTGGAGTGGATCCTGCTCAGAAGTACAAACATTTGACATTTACATAGATGGCCATAACATTAAAGCTCTTAGTGTATCATCTGATCTATATTTGGTCTCAAGTTTCAGCTGCTGACTTATTACTTTCCTTTTAGCTGAGAGTGCATCAACTATTTTGAATAGCACTGAAAAGGTACTCCTGCTCTTACATCTTGTTTTCCACACTACCTTTGCCTCACATGCACGCTCACACATTTTAGTATTATTACTGCGCTGTGCATTGTGCTGGACCTTAGCCAAGGTCTCAATTCAATCTATATACATTTGTGACAGCCTTTTACAGTCACATGCTTCGTATTGTAATCTGTGCCAACCTGTGCTGTGTTGTTTTGGTAGACACAGAAGATAACTCTTTTCCCCATCCTATACTTCACTTAAAGGTGCACTCACTACAGCGCTATTAATCACAGACACTTTGAGAGAAACATGAGATGGAAGCAGGACTTGTATCCTGATATGTATTGATTTGAGTTTCCAGCCACTACTTTACCCTTGCATGCACAATCCTAGGCTTATTCATGATCAAGTGCACTTGCCTGATTGAGGGGCACTGAAAATCACAAGATGCTCTGACTATTTTAAAATTCAAAGCACCCTCGAAAAGCCTTCTCCTGCATTTTTTTGTAAGTTTAGCCTGTGCACTGTTTTTTCCCCCTACAGAACTGGACAAACTTGCCAGCACTAAGTCGTTTCTTGTCACCCAAATTACCTACAAAGCAACATTTTTTTAATACTTTGTTTTGTCAGCAGGGATATTTTTTTTCCGTCTGCATTGTGGTTTCTAATGACACAGCAGCAGAGACTGAACCTTTGTGTTGGTCCTCGGTCGTAAGCAGTTTTAGACGTCTCCAGCCTTGGCAAGTCCCAGTTGGCCACGCTGTGGAAAAATGGCTACTGAGAGTCTCAGCAGAACACCTGCCCCCAGCCTGACCTGTTGTTAGTGAATTCAATCCCAAGAGAATGACAGGCTAGTTACAAGCAATGCTCCACGGCTTTTTTATCTCCCTCTCTCCCACTCCATCCGGCATTCTCGACATGCAGCAAGGACACATACGCTCTGGTTTTTGTCCTCTTTTACACGGCACAGATAATAGACAAAATCATAACCGTACCTGCACTTTGTGTTTTGGAGGAGCAAATTTCTGCCACTGGCTGTCACATCTTTTCCACTTGCCTCTATCTGTTTACAAATTTGTGCAAGGTTCATTCACTTCTCCCCTCCGAGGACTACAGCCAAACTAAACAGATGATGCCAAACTGCTTCACTTCACTGAAGTCAGGTTTTCCGGTAGAGTTCACATTGTCAACATCGCCATCAACAAAATGCTCCTAGGCAAGTACATCTTTTTGAACTGCTTCCTCTGAGAACATCCAAAAAGACGCTACATAACCAACTCCCTCAGCTCATTTTATTTCTCCCATTTTCTTGCTGCAATTTGAACTTCTCACCCATCATCAGGCTATTCAGGGACCTGAAAAAACAGGCAATGTGTAATACTGTTTTTTTGTGGGGTGAATTTTTTTTCTGTGTCATCATGTGCTGTCTCATTATGCACCCCTTTGTCTCGTGTTTTGTATCCGAGAAACCACAAAACTAAGCTCGTCCGCAGCCCCGTCTTTGACAACCAGGAGGACAATCACTAGTCAAGGGCAAAACATTCCCAAAAATTTGTTGTAAATTATACTCGCAGCACTGTGTATTGTATTTGTCAGGAGTGGAAATGTCAGTGTTTTTGAGCAGGTTTGACGGGAGCAGGACAGGCTGGGGAGCCAGAGGAGGGATACGAGGTGCCATCATGCCTGTCAGACCCATCCTTCCCCCCCTGAGGGCTCTTCTGTAGAGCGGCAGATATTTCTTACTGCTCATGGTAAGAAAAAAAAAAATAGAAGAGCAGGGCACTCATCCTAAACCACCATGAATAACATATTCTGTATACTATGGGTAATTTGTGTCACAGTGTGTGTGTTTGTGTTTATGTTCTTGTTATTCATATGGAAATTTGTGACCTTGGTAAGTGTGTGAGTGGGTGTCAAGGCTGCCTCATGTCCAACCTGTCCGTGTTTGTGAATGTATGAATTTGTATGCATGTAGTGGCGTCAGTGTCAGGGACTAACTAGTTACATATTACACTACAATACATATGGATTAAAATTGCGAAATAAAAGTTATTGTAAACTGTTACAGTAACTGGGGAAAAAAATCTAATTCAATTACAGTTACTAATAAAATATTGGTGACTACAAAGGGGTTACATCAACCCAGTCTCACTCCCAACTTGTCAAATACCGACGCTTTGTCAGTGGCCCACCAGCATTAGACACTGATGCACAGAGGCACCCTTTAGTGGCAGTATGAGTGGCCCTGGTGGCGTTTCTTGAAGCTCTGGGCAACAACTGCAGTACAAGGAGCAAGAAAGATCGCTTTGTGCGGATCAGCCAACCATTATGTTTTTTTTTTTAAATCAAACAACATGCTTTTGTTGTGTAAACCTAAGGAAGTAAACCTAAGAATGATTTGTGGCTGAGTGCCGTCTGACTCTGCTGCGTTCCAGCTCCACGATGCCAATGTGAGCCACCTTTGCCTGTTGATTTTTGCCATATCTGGCCCAGATTTAGCTGTTATAGATGTTGGCTATTTGGAATGTCAAACAACATTCATCTGCGCACAATGTGATGACACACAGCTGGTTGAATATCAGCAAAGTTTCCCTGCTTCCCTTCACTGGTTCCTGTACAGCAGGGTCGGTCTTTGTTTCACTGTTATAATCATTAAAAAGTAAAAGCAGCATGTGTATACATTCAGTAGACTATATCTTCAGTAGCTAGCTAGCTAACCCTACACTTTTCAGGGTTTGATTTTGGTTTTGGAACAGGGAAGAAACGTATATCTTTTTCCAACCTCTCCAGGTAATGAGTATCATTAATACACGACGTGCCCCAGGCACAACATTTAGCTCCAAATCCACAAAACCAGCCTGAAAATGAAGGAAATCTGAAACAACTGCATTAGAGTCAATGGCACACAGCTGTGTTGTTGGACCCTGGTGTGACCCGCCTGATGCTATGTTCTGATTGACCAGTCTGCACCCAGGGGCGGGACTTAGCGAAGGGTGAATTAAAATAAAAAATACTTAATACCTTTTTAATAGGATAAATAGGATTCTGTAACCTGTTTCATTTGGAAAGTAACCTCCCAACACTGAGTGGCGTTACTTATATGTTTGTGTCAGTCTCTCATTTTTATTGTGATATTCATCTCTATAGTTTTGATAGATAAGGTCTTCTCTCTTTTGTGACCTCTGATATTTAATCTGGATAAATAACACATGAGTGACTGAAGGAGACACACCCTCCCTTTAATGTTTCCTTTCAGCCCTATCACTCACTTATCCTATTTGTCTCACCATGACAGCCTCAAATGGAAAATAATACTTTCCTAAACAGCCTGTTTACAGGTGAGGTTTCATATTACAGGTATAAAAAACCGCACAGTGTAAATGTGTCTTCACCTGGACCCTCCTGGGATTCAATCAAGCTCTGCAGGAAGCGCAGACAGCAAGAATCAAATTACACCTATAGGTAATTAAGTTAATATCTCATATGGAGGTATAGCCCGTGTCTTCCCAGAAATCCGAGGGACTGATGCCATGTGTGGAGACAACAAGGACTCCTGGTGACACACCTCGTGTTGGTCTCTTGTCTCGTACACACGCGCGCACACAATCACACGTGCACTCCAAGAGGGAGAGGGAGGGAGAGGAGAGAGTTTGCCCCACATCTTAGTTGCTATAACTACTCTGTGTTACGACAGGCGGGGATGATGAAGCCGTCTGCAGGCGACACACCACACGGATCCACCTCTGATGCTCCTCACAGAGTTTGTCCATAATCAACATTAAAGGAGAGGAGGAAGGTGTCCTGTGAGCTGTCGGGAGGAAACCGGAGGAAAACTGCAAACGGAGTCTAAAACAAAGACAGAAAAATATCTTTATCCGTTTTCTGGATCTTAAACTTCACAGGAAACAGTTTCACAGGTAAGTTTGTGTATAATTATGTCTTTTATGTATATAAAATAAGTCACTGTTATATTCTTATGTGGCAATCGTGAGCACATTGTTGTTGCAGTCGCTTATAGTGTATTTAATTCGCATTAACTTTTTAATAACAGAGAGAAAGCTTTATTTTAACCCTTCACAAACTTCATTTTTGTCACCCAAAAGTCGCTTTCATTTACCGAAAAGCTAATACAGAGGTTTCATTGCCTCCCGACTGTCCAGTTGACCTGCTTCCCCCCACATTAATGTCCCTAATTTACAATAAACAACATGTCTTGGTAAATGTTCTGATATCAGTGCAGGTTAATCTGATCAGGTCTGATCCTGGAGCAGACTCAGGGAGCAGAGTCTCTGGGTTATTTTCTCATTTAAATGATGCCCTTTACTTTAAGAATGAAGGAGGAATATTAAAAATAATTGGAAACTGCAGCAGTAACACACTGTGCCATCTGTATTTGCTTTGGGAGTCCCTCTCTGCTCCCAACCCTGTCTTTGCAAACCTTTCTCATTCCCATTCACATTCATGATGATTATTTTTCTTAATTGGGGATTTGCATGCATCTGCATTCAGGACGTTAATAACGGGCTGGTTAATGAGTGGTGGACTAAATCCTCACTTATGCTTATAAAACACACTGGACCAGGGCTGTCTGTCCATGGGTGTAGATTTTGGGTGTGTGCGAGGGGACGTGTCCCTCTTAATATTTAGAACATGTGCAGTGACAACATAAAAGTAGCAGAGGACTTTAAGTTTGACAAAAAGACATGAACACCATGAATTGATGCACAAAAAGCAGACATTGGGGCATTTAAATGAATAGGAATGCAAGAAATGATGAGTTTGATGCCACAATTTGCTGGTAGAGGACCCCAAACTCCTTGTTTCAATGTTTAAACAAACTTACACTCTTGTGTCAGTCAATCAGTGAGTTATTTTAAGGCACATCAGCCAAAACCCAGGCCACTGTTCGTATATGCTTTCCGTGCAGGACAATAGAGACACATGAGGGTGTTGATACCTTTAAAGAAAGCAGAGTGTGCTTAACATTTAAGAGGATGTTCTTTTAATCCAATTCAAGGAGAGTGTTTTGATTTCCGTCCTACAAAAATGTTCTAAAAGCGCCTGATTGGATTGTCTGGATAAGCCGACACCATTTACAGACCCACATATGGATTAAAAAAAACAAAACAGATGAGCCTGAGCAGCTCTAATAGCATAACACACATAACACATGTAATGTATTCTCCAGTGGTTTTGTCGGCGGGATGCAGAGTCTAGCCAGATTGCTTTTTTTTTTTTTTCCTTAACTTTTGCTTCCTCACTGCAGGAGCGCTGAGCAGCTGCTAACACCAGACCACTGCTGGCTTATTTTTTTTTCCCCAGCTCTGTCACTTATTGACACTGTGGGACACAGGCAGGATTGATGTTCTTGCCGTTAATAGTGTAGCAGGCAATACTTGGGGCTATCGATCCCACCCCCTTTCTCTATCCTCCATCCCTACAGTGCACTCTGTCTCCACCCGTGGAATATGATTAAGGGGCTATGGCATCATGGGAAAATAAATAGAGGGATAAATGAGATGAACACGTATTGATGGGTGTAATGTGATGCTTTTCTTCTGGTTTCAAATTGGAGAGGCACAAAAGACACAGCCAGGACTACAGATAATCATGTATAATGATTCATGTCCTTTTAATGCAGGAATACGAGAGTTGTTTCAACCTCATTAGATGACTTTTACTGTCATTGCTGCTGCTGTGAATAACAAGGGATGGTCTCCTTGAACAGAAATGGTTGTCCTCTTTGTGTCTCTCCATGCGTTTTTACCCACTGACCTTTTTCTGCTCCTGCTCAGCATCATAATCTCACCTGTCAGTATTTTGATTGCATTTGTTTGAAGGGTTTGTAAAGAGAGACAGAGAGAGAGCGTCATCTTTTCCACACTGACCCCTTTTTTCTCTCAATCTGTCAGATCCTCCAGGTGCGACTGTTTGTGTGTGTGTGTGATTGGGACCTGGTGTGTGTCAGGGTGCTATGGTGAGGCTATGTGCACAGGCTGGCACAAGGAGAGATGTCTACCATCGTCAGTGGAGGAAGACAGAGAGGTAAAGGAGTGCATTTTCATTCATGGCTGCGCGTCTCGCTCCTGTTCTCGGCTCTGTGGGGCCAAGTGTTCCCCCAGTGCCCGGACAGCTGCCACTGTGCCTGGGACACGGCCACGGTGCTGTGCTCAGACGCCGGGCTGCGGGAAATCCCAGAGGGGATCCCACCAGATACTGTCTCCCTCCATCTGGAACGCAACTACATCCGAAACATCCCCCAGAGTGCCTTCAGCGATCTGGTCTACCTGCGTGACCTGTACCTTTCCCACAACCGCATCGACTCACTCGCCTCGGGGGCCCTGCAGCACCTGGGTCCCGAGCTCCGCCTGCTCGACCTCTCACACAACCAGCTGAGGCAGGCCAGCAAGGAGGAGTTCGGCTCCACCCGTGCAAAGACACGCCTCTACCACAACCCCTGGCACTGTGACTGCGCCCTCCAGGAGCTGATGGAGACTCTGTACCTGGAGCCCGAGACAGTGAATGGGATTGTTTGTGAGAGCTCTGTGAGGGGGGTGGGTGAGGGCAGCAGGTGGGAGGACCCGGGGTCACAGGGCGAGCACGCAGGTCAACCGATGGTCAAACTGTTGGATTCTGGGGTGAATTTCTGCAGCCTGCAGAGGAAAACCACTGATGTAGCCATGCTGGTGACAATGTTTGTATGGTTCTTCATGGTCATCGTGTATGTCGTGTACTACGTGAGGCAGAACCAAGCTGAGGCCCGCAGGCATTTGGAGTACCTGAAGAGCCTGCCCAGCCCACGCAAGACCCCCACAGAGACAGACACTCTGAGCACTGGTTTCTAAACTCCTGCTCAGCTTCAACTTCAATGGAATAACATGAAAATGGAATTTTTATGGAGAGCGACTGATAAAATTCCACAACTTGCTATATGGAGTTACTGGAAGATGCTCATCCAGAGGAAATGAACCCTTTACAGCTGTCTTTTGTGACTGTAATATTTCTTTATATTTGTTACAATTGAGCCCACCTACCACATTGTTCTTTAGATTTCTTTACCTATTATACTTTTCTTAATTTAAAGGTACAGTGTGTGGGATTTAGGGGATATATTGCCAGAAATGGAATATAATAGGTATGATTTCTGTCGCATATAGTCACCTGAAAATAAGAATAATTGTGTTTTTGTTACCTTAGAATGAGCTGCTTATATCTGCATAGGAAGCGGCTCCTTTTCTATGGAGTCCACCATTTTGTTTCTACAGTAGCCAGGAATGGACAAACCAAATACTGGCTCTAGGTAGAGCCATTTGCGTTTGCATCTCATGTTTTTGCATTGGCCACCATAGTTAGCAGCCCCTCTGTGATAATAACGTCAAAACACTGATTTTTTAAATATGAAAATGCTTTACTCAGGGTTTCTACCGGTTTAAATCACAGGGTCCGTTTGTTTTAGAGAGGAAGAGACCTCTGCGGATAATTCAGCTCCCAGTCAAAACCTCCTAACTGTCTGGATCTTAAGTTATCAGAGAAAAAAAGGGGCGCTCACGTTGGCAGGTGCTGCATTATTGGCCCTTCTGTAACATGCCTAACAGCATAGGAGAAACACTTATTTTTTAAAGGTGAAACGCCTTTATTCAGTGTTTCTCCTGGTTTAAATCACTGTGTCTCTTTGTTTTGGAGAGGAAAAGGCCTCTGTGTATATAAACTCACAAGTCAGTCTTTAGACGCTTTGCTTAACTAACGACTGATGACTTTCTCCCTGATTTTGTGTTTAGATGGGCGGATACAATTTCAGAGGTTTAAAAAACTCCCTATGTTGCAGAACCAATAGTAAATCTGCAGGGCGGTCCTTCGGTGGCTCGCTGAACTCTTGTGCTCGTAGACATAGTCCCACTAGAAACACATGTAGCGGTAAAAAATGGCTCAGCCGCGCTCGCAGAAAACGCCGTCAAAGTTAGTGGATGTTTGTCGCGTTTGTGGCGACACATTCTCGCCAACTAAAAGAAACAAACATAATCTTTTACAAGGCCATGACTCATCCGTCCGGCCTGACTATAGAGGGAATCGCCTTGCTGTTTACAAATACTTCCGGGTAGAAATCCAGCAGAGCTTTTAGCTACATATATATATATAAATCACATTTTTCACATCACTGTATCACCGTTTAGACTAATCCGATGTTTGTAAAGTCTATAAACACAATGACTGAACAAACATTACTATGTCTGTCTGTAATAGGTAATAACTCATTAAACGGTCCGTGAAAAAAATATCTTTTCCAGCGGATATCTTAGTTACAACATGATTGGCTAGCAAAGCAGTTTTGTGTTGCTATGTGTGGTATTTATTCAGTTTTGGGAAATCACGATGTCTAGAAAGCATCAGTGGCTGCAGCTGACAGGGACAGCTAACACTAGCAGCAAAGCTAACATCAGGACGTCATCTGTTAAAAGCCTCCCGTTGTCGGATACGACATGAAACTACTCGAGTTAGCTCAATCATGTTGTAACTAAGGCATCCGCTGGAAAAAATATTTTCTTCACTGATGAGCACACAGATGAGCACACGTTTGATAACACGTTAATCTCTCGGCATCCATTTTCAAGCTCTCTGTGTGTTTGTTTCCTTGCGGACGAGAAAAGGGGGAGCGCACGTTTCCGAGAAGGCGTGTCCTTTTCAAAAATGCAAGAGGTGTTGCTTTGTTGCCGGCCGTTTTCGCTGGTGTGTTAAACACACTTTAGAAAGGAGTGTCCCCAGACTATCAGAAGGCGGAGATCTCTGATTGTCTGGTGGCGAGACTACTGTGGATAATTCGGCTCCTGGTAAAAGCCTCTTAATTGGATCTTAAGTTATCAGAGAAAAAAGGCGAGCTCACATTAGTAGGTGTGGTGCTAGCAGCCCATCTGTGTCCCAAACAGTGGAGGAGAAACCCTGATTTTTAAATCACTGTGTCTGTTTGTTTTGGAGAGGAGGAGACCTATGTGGATAATTCAGCTCCTGAAAACCTCCTGAACAATGAACACTGAAGGAATTCTAACCGAGAGAAGTTTTAGCTGGTTGCAGTCGGCAGTCATCACCACTAGATGCCACTAAATCCCCGTAAATCTTAAACACTGTCCCTTTAATGAAGAATATTTGTGTACTCATTGTGCACTGAAAGAAAAGAGTGAAAATGAAAAGTTCAGCAGTAGAAGATGAAAGGATGACGTAAGTCTTTGGAGGAAAAAAAGGAAGTTCTTTGAACTTTTATAACCTTCCATCTCCCTCTGCACTCCTTCTTTCCTTCTCTATTCTTCTCCCTCCATGCCCCATACTGTGGTCTTTTATCTTTCATTAAGCGCTAATTAGGAGTCTTTGACCAACTGACCGTTAATGAAAACTTGAAAGCCAGTAATCAGCTGGAGTGTGTGTACCAGGTCAAAGAGGGAGAGCGTGCAAATTCAAATGTGTGTCCTCATCTAATTGCTTGTTTCGTTTGTGCGTGTGCGAGTGTGTGTGGAGTGTTTTCGCGCATTGTTACGGGCCATTTTTACTTTGATAACATTGATTTTGCACGGATGCTATTTAGGCCTGTCCCAATCCACGGTCACTAAGCCAGTGGTTTCGGTGCCAGTGGAGAACTGCTGATCTAAATTTAGTCCTCTCAGGAAGCCATTAGAGCTGCAGGTGAACTGTTTTGTCTCCAAGCTGCAGCAATCAGCTCTAAAATATCTGGACAGCTTGTCACTGATTGGTACAGAGAATTTTTCAGCTAGATTTAGAAATGGATCGTTGTCATAAATTAGATTAGTATAGCCATTTATCCCGAGAGAAGCTGTTAGTTTAGCTGTAATTAATCTCTCGAGTCCTCCTTTCAGTCCTCTCTGCACTGATTGCTGTGTACAAATTGTCCCGTCTCCCATTTTCCACATCGGCTTTATCATAATTGATTCCTTTTCAAGCCACTGTAAAAAATAAGCAAAAACATTTTGTTAATAAATGGAATATTTTCCTCAGTTAGTACATTTAACGCCTGTAATGTCAAGATTAATGCCATTCCTGATGCATATACTCTATGTGCACTGACTATGAAACAAAGCCTGACTGAGCAACAGCCACTTATTTTGATTTCACTTGAGTGGAGCATTATTCTCTGAGAAGAGGGTGTATTGTGTGATTAATGTATGAGCATTTGTCATTTTTCAATGTTTACAGATAGAAACTGTAAAAGGTCTCTCTCAGCTTGATAGTCAGCAACATTTAATGTGTGTTCGGGAAAGTGGTTCCCAATCTGAGGATCAGGACCCCAACAAGAGCTCACAAATTCAGTGTGAAGGGTCACGAGATTATTGACAGGATATTAAAACAGGAAGAACATATTTTTACAACACAAAATTAACTTCACTTTTTCTTGTAATACACTGAAGTCCAAAGAGTTTCTAACCTTTTACAAATATTTAAACAAAACAGGAAAATAATCACTCTTTGGTCAAGCAGATATAGTAAGACAAAGTCCCTCTCCTTCCACAAAAAATGGCTTCAAAGCCTGGTGCATTTCCCAGAAGCCTGGAACTTATTTTGGAAAAAGATATGTCAGGCAATTGAAAGAGACAAATTATTTTTTGGTCCTGTTTAAAGTGTACCATGAATTACACATATGATGTTTGTCAAATTAAAAGGTAATTTTGCAAGCCAAGAAAGTCGCACTTTAGGTTTGTTGTAGTTAATCTCTTATCTGGCACACTACATGGCACTAACACCCACAAGTCCGTTACCTTGGCACAAATGTAACATCATCTTACCTGGTGTGTTTTATCCAGTGACTTCTGGTCTTTTTATCAGTTGGGAAGTAAAAGAACAAGCAAGACCTATCACTTACGTGAATACACCCTGCTGGGTATGACACACACAGGTATCACAGCTTCAGTGAGATAAAATTATGATGTTATTTATGTGACTTCTGGGTGGTCATTCTCATTACATATTTTCACAGCCTTCAACAGAGGAACTGCAACTTTCTTGACTAGCAAAATAATCTTTTAATCAATTAACCTCATTAATTAACCTCAAAGCTGTAAAGCTGTGTTCGGCGTGATGACGTTCTGTAGTCACCTACTTGTTAGCAACCGCCTTTTTTAAGACACGTAAAAGCTTCAAACTGAGCGGGGTATTTACTGACATATTTTATGTCGTAGAACAAAACATGTAAATATCTTAAGCTTGTGTTAACCACAGACCTTATTTCAGGCATCTAACCCTAAAACCCATGCAAAAAAATCCATTAACTTCAAGATGAGAAATTTGGGAGGGCTAAAATGCTAACTCATTTTAATGTTTTAGGACTCATTCCTGCACCACTTTATTGGCTATCTAAGAGATTAATGCTGCATTCTACTGGTAGCTGGAACTAGGATTGATACGGTTTCCAGTCCGGAAAGGTACAAAAGAACACCCGTTCTACCCGGAGGTCTCGTCATCAAACTCGGGCAAGGTCCAGGTAGACCGAGTCGGTAGAATTGACGTCACGACGAAGATGGCTGCACACATTGTGAATGGTAAACAAAGTTATTTGTCCTCAATTTGTCCTCATATATGCTGTTTAATTAAACGTTTGTGTTGTAAAAATCATACAAGTACTTTGCAATGGCATTTCTATTTCCACTGTTGATTTGTGTTGGAAAAAAAGTCTGTGCAAGCCCGTTGTAGCCTAAAGTCGTTTGAACCAGCAAAATCTCCGTTGCTCAGCAACCATGCAAACAAAAACAAACTTATGGCAGGCCGCCATGTTTTCCGAACTGTTGCAATGAAACGCATTCAGATCAGACGTGTCATACGTTCATATAAATTCGACAAGGAACGACCGGCCTGGATTGCCAAACAAATGCGGCATAAGGCTATAGGAGTGTCACACGCCATCGTAACTTTTGTTTAAAGGGGTCACAAGCCAAATAGATTGGGAACCACTGGTTTACCAGCATGTTTTTAGCCATGCTAGCAGCGCGGCCCTATAGGGGGGAACTGTTGGTCATGTATTGGATGGATTAAATTTGGTACAGATGTTAATGTTCCCCTCTAGATGAACTCTAATAACTTCAGCGATGTCTTTTTTTTGTTTTTCTCTGTATTTAGTGCTAACAACCAACTTTAGCATGCTAACAAGCTAGGTTGGTTAACATGGTAAACACTAAACCTGCTAAACATCCGCATGTTAGCATTGTTATCATGAGCATGTTAGTATGCTGACATTAGCATTTAGCTCAGTGCACCATGGTGCCGAAGTGCAGCGTCACAGGGACGCTAGCATGGCTGTAGACTCTCAGCCGTGTGTCTTTAATCCGCGACAGGTTTGTTTTGCAAACTTATAAATGTTCATACATGTAATAAAACATTAGTGCCCCATTTTATCA